TCTGGGAAATCCATATTTAGGAAGTATTTGACGTAGGAAACCTAGTGGAGTTGGACTGAGACTCTTAATGTCAAGTTGACACGTGGAGGTAACTTTGGCCATCTGAGCGGCACACGGTGCTGCTCAGATTGTGGTAGACAAAGCTCAAATGCTTCACAAGGTGGCCCTTTTCACAAGACACCATGAACAATGCAGTATTAGCCTTGGCAGCCTACATCCAACGTGATGCTGATGCATGCCAGCAAACATCCTCTCCTGCCCTCCTACCTCTAAAACCCTAGGGGACACTTGCAGGGAGAGGGCAGATACCTACTTCACTGGAGGTTTGTGTGTGTGTGTGCGTGTGTGTGCGTGCGCGCGCACAAAGTGGAAAGACCCAGGCCTCGTCCTCCAGGGAGACATTATTAGCTACAGCCTGCCCTATAAAGAGGACACTTGCAGGGAGAGGGCAGATACCTACTTCACTGGAGGTTTGTGTGTGTGTGTGCACAATGTGGAAAGACCCAGGCCTCATCCTCCCTAGGGAGACATTATTAGCTACAGCCTGCCCCTACAAAGACACTATTTCCTTTATTTTCGTACACACCAACTTCTGTACCAAGTTTAAACTGGAAAAGATTAACAGAAAAGAACATATTCTTGACCCATTATTGGTCGCTTTCACTTCAAAAGATCAGATGACCTTCAAGTACCCCCAAAAACGAGATAGCCGTTTAAAAAAAGGATAAGTTTAATAAATATCAATACAGAAATAAGATATGATACAGTCTTTTTTTTCTTCTTCTTCTGTGGGAAATTAAGGCTTCAAGTTACAGCAACCCAAACATTTCCCAAATGTCGTGGTGGAGACGATCCATTAAGGAGACAACCGGACTCGACCACAGGATGTTTATTTTTAACAAAAAAAATACCCAGGCTTGTGCAAGACAATGCAAAACACACTTTCTTACAATGGCAGAATAAAATTCAAACCTTTAAAGAGGCAGCCAAGGTCAACGATTTAAAGAAGCCTTCACACCCATCTTTAGTCAAGTTCTACACAGTGGCCATCTCAGCCCCAAAAACCTAACCCTAGTTCTCCACGTCTGCTAACAAGTGAAATATGACCCGAAATGAAGTGATTTCACCTCTCTTGAATCCTCTCTCCCTTATATGCAGCAACTGTTGAATGTTCACTGTGTAACGCAACGCACAAAAACTTTCAGAGCATAGTATCAAGTCGTCAAAAGCACATGGTGCAAAATGAGGAATACCGAGAGGAGGGGAAGAAAGAGAAAGCGGACGTAAGGAGGACCTCAGTGTTTGAAGTCTTCTCTGACGGCCCAAAACACATGCAGCTTCACTGATTAAAAAACTGTAAAAACACGTAACAATCTGAACATGGGGAAATGGCCGCTGCATTTCAAAAAACATCCCCAAAATAAAGCTCACAAGCCAACTAAAATGCAACTCTTTCCAACAGAAGCCATTCAGTATTCCTCCATATCTCTGTAAAAGTAAACAGGAGTCCACTGGTCATTTCCAAAAGTAACCAAGTTGTCTTTTTTTTCCAAACAGGGCATTCAATTAGTATAGTTACAAACATGTTATTTTTCTAGATTTTCTCACACACCAAAGTCTTGAATAACAAAACATGCTCATGTTTTGGAGGCTGCAATTCCCCTGCTAACATTTGAAACAAAGACTTGTCTAAAGACTCTGCTCATAAACATCCCCCCCCAAAAAAAACCCAGACATTCTAGATTTGCAAATTCTGGTCCCTCATCTGTTCCATGACACCACTAAATATGACCTTTGCCTTGTCTGGCTATGACTCAAATTCTACATTGTGTTGAAATTTAGGAATTAGACAATATAGTGCTTTCTACAGATGAGAATGCCATGTTATGTGAGGCTGACCTCCGACACCTCTAGCACGGGCTTATAAACCAACCCTTGCCAACAGCTTGTGGCCAGTATCTGTTGCTGTTGGCAAGCTTGGGCCAAAGGTGGTTTTTACTTTCCCCTTTAGGCCGGGAGAGACCATGCGATGGAGGGAAGGGTTGGTAACCCACTAGAACAGTGGTGTCGAACTGTGGCCCTCCAGATGTTCTTGGCCTTCAACTCCCAGAAATCCTGGCCAGCAGAGGTGGTGGTGAAGGCTTCTGGGAGTTGAAGTCCAAGAACATCTGGAGGGCCACAGTTCGACACCACTGCACTAGAAGTTTGTCTGGGTTAGAGATAGTACATTCTGTGGATCTGCAAGGTTGCTGGAGAAGCATGGGAAACAGGGCCACCAAAAAGCCTAAGTGTCCCGTAGGGGACCCCAGTTGAGTGTGCCCAGTCTCATGACCCTTTCTTCCTACCCACCGGATCCACTGGGACAGCTGGCCCCAACTCTAAGAGAACTGGGACGTTGCCCATTTTTAGGGCAACAGATCAGAGGAACAGAGGAGAGAAAAAGATGACCATCAGCAACGTTTTATGAATCACTGGGCTCCAGAGAGGCACGTTAACAAGCTCAAGAGGTAGAGGAGGCGAACCAAATAACTGAATAGCCCTCTTTGGCTTTTAACTGAAGTGGAGCAAACGTTCTCCTTACAAGGACCAAGCAGGAGGACCTCAGGAAAAAACTGATTTTGTCCTTTTCCGCAAACCAGCCACCTAACTTCACAAACACATTGTTCTCCAAATGTTCTCCTATCTACCCATGATCTTTTATTCTTATGCAATTTTGATCCTCTGGATTCAGGAGTCAGAACAGGGTCATGCACATTCTTTAAGCCTCGACTTCTCTTCCTTCACTTACTGCAACAAATTTCTTTCAAGTATTTTTACACAGTAAAGAAATAGGTTTTTGTTCATTTGTTTTGGGTTTTTTTAAGCCTTCCTGCTAGTCACCTTGGGGCGCTTTTTCTTTAAAATAAATTTATCTCAAGAGAATGGTAGTTTTACAAGATGTTTCATAGAGTCTGTGTGAGGAAACACAGGGAAGCACACACACACACAGGCTGTAAAGTAATGCAAACTTTTGTGAATCGTTGAGATGTTTTTTTAAAACATAGGTTACAAAAAAGAGGAAACGGAGCAGGGCATCATTCAATTTTAAAATAAACTTATGTAGAAATACCCAAATACTCCCAGCAAATCTTACCCTACTTCTTCCAGCAATCCCTATACCTCTGTGTCCCTCTTCTACCTATCCCGAATCAAGACCGAATACAGGCTTTCTCCTCTACCTAAGCTTTCTCACTGTCCATCATTTCTCCATCTGAGTTCTTCACACAGAATCTTGAAAAACTACTTCCCCTTAAGCAACTGTAGGGTAGAGGATGTTGGGTAAGACATATATGACTGCAATGATTCTGGCCCACACACCAGAAAAATTTGAACACACACACACACAACTATGGAAGTTTCACCTAGAACAGACAGAGCCATTGAATCCATGAGACTTACATTGACTGCTGGCTCACCATTCAGCAATTTTTTTTTCCAGTAGGTCTACTCTGGGGAGACTACTCCCTGAATATCCAGCAGGTGTGGAAACTTAGCATACTAGGTATATCAGATGCAACCCGGCACTTCAGTCCATACTCATCAAAACTCAAAGAGTCCTCCGGTCACTGTTCTCATGAATTTCTTTACAAAAAGCTGATTTCAAGAATATCCAGATCAGCCACCCGGCCAGCCACTTAAAAATAATAACAAATATAGTTGCAAACTGTCCTTACCACGGCTACATTTTGTTCACATCAAGTGTGTATTTAACCTCTCTTATTTTGGAAAGATACTTAAGGCAACTACAGATTTCTTCTGCTTCACTGCAAGGAGGTGATATGGACTTAAAGCGTTTATAAAAATATTCAACACATCACAAACACTCTTAAAAACACCATTTTCTTTCCATATGTATGAAGCAGCAAGTCAAATGAATTAATCACACACTGATCCATTTCTTTCCGCTTTAGGATGGGTAACATTTGTAAGCGACCTTCCAAAAGCAAAAATAAAATAAAATTCAACAACTCAGCTTCTGTTTTTGGATCATGGATCTCATTTCAGTGATATTCCCTGAGGCCAAAAAAACAAAACAAAAAAAAGCTACAACACAATGTTAAGGTTGCCACTGCACATCTTCAAAACATGTTAATATTACATGCAGGGGTATGTAGGATCTAGTCTACGCCAACTGCTTTGAGGTATGTAGAATGTGGACTCTAGAACTCAACTCTGCACAAGGTTGTCAAATCCACGCCGTAGATGAGCCACATCTGAACACATCACAAATAGATACAGAATGAACACAAAAGGCTATAGTTCCACCAGCCTTCCGCAACCTGATGTTCTCCATAGATGAGCTGATGGATTCTTGGATTCACCTTTCTAGCACATCTGGACACACCAGGTTGGGGAAGACTGGCTTTTTACTGCCAGGATGATAATTTCATCAAGAAGCCACAACAGCAGACTACTCTGATAAGAGGAAATGCAGGACTGATCTAGATTAAAATCCCTGTGTGCCCGAGGCTTGCTCTTTATAAATGCCTATGGAGATGCACACAGGCACACACTAGCTCTCTAACAGAAGATAGAAAAATACCATTTTCAAACAAGAACTCTTGGTCAACGTTCCTACCAATGTTCTTGAATGCAAATGACCCCTTGCCATGTCATTACACACCAACACAAGCTATACAGTAGTCTTTGAATTCTTCACAAGCAGAAGACAGGAGCCAGAACCTCAGAGTGGCTTGGCAGCCTCTGGGGAGGGGTGTGTGTGGAATATCTGATCTGACAAACCCATAAAAAGCAAGCATGCAGACAACCCATGAAGGAGTTTCCAAACACATAGGTGGGACTTGAGAAAGCATCTCTCTCTGTTCTTGAGACCAGCCGCGTGTCGCAAAGCCAAGCTCAAAGATACAGCACAGGCCCTATTTTGCAGCCACAGGTCACGTTGTGGAACGATTTACGTTGTGGAACGATTTGCCTCAGGAGATTGCAAACTGTATGCCACAGGTCACGTTGTGGAACGATTTACGAGGGCTGCCACAGGAGGCGATTGCAAACTCTATCCAGTACATGGAGGGGACTTGAGGAAAATCGTGTAGATGGCGCAATACAATGGGACACATCTATGTAGGAGAACCATTCCAAAACCAGCCCGCAGCTGTAAAATAGTTATACCACCTGAATCCACAACTGTTTCCTAAAAGGATCCTTTTGCATCAAAGAGAAGCACTGAGCATTCTTGGTCCATGGGAACACAGTGGCACCATCAGACAGTTCCTGCCTTTACACACACACACACGCAACATGCAACACACAGCAAATGCTTTGTTCCTTTTGCAATATAACTTGAACTGAGTCTAAAAGAAGCAAACTGAAACCAAGACACAGGTCATCATCATTCAGTGTTCGGACTGCACAACCTGTACAGTGCCAGATAAACATACGCACGCACGCACACACACGCCGTCACCTAATTCCTAGGCTTTGTGGTTCCCTGGATGAGGTCTAGGCAGAACATTCAACGTGGCGATTCCGAAAACACCTCAAGTTTTCTTTCATGTGCACAAGCTCACCTGAAATGCAACCTAAATGTTTTAACAGCTTCATTTCTTAAACACACACAAACACTTCCTAGAGTGCAAAATGCTTATTTAGTACTTTAGCAACAGAACACCGCATTGTAGGGTTGTTATTTGTTTCCTTCTTTAAAACAGCCACTTCTTTTCAGCGTCGACATCGGGTTTCCACCCTCTCCGAAGCATCCGTCGCCGGCAACAGATGCATGCCTAAGTGTCTGAGAGCCCCTCTGAGCCTTCCTTGGGGGGCCGGGAGGGGGTCTCGGTCTAGTCACTGGGAAGCACCTCCTCACTTCCGAGAACACAACTCTTCACTTGTACAAGCTCATGGTTGGGCTCTGATACATGCACATGTAAGCGTCACAGAGAAGTCTCCGTGCACAGCCTTGAATTCTTCTTGAGTCCAGTGAATGCAGCTCCTCAAGGGACATTTTCAGATATTCGCCGACTTCTGGGCATGGCGTCACTTGAGGGATGTTAAAGCCATTCTGGCCTCCTTTTGGGGGGGGGGGAAGAAAGGTAGGGGAAAAAATTAACCAAAGAAAAAAAAGACACCCTTAACTATGTGTTCCTCGGACTATAGCCTTCCCATTAGCATGCAACCAAGGGATACAAGCGTTAATTAAAATTCCTGCCAGCCTGGGCATGAATCACAATTGCTAGTCCCACTGGATCAATGGGGGGGAGGAAGAAAGGTAGGAAAAAAAAATTAACCAAAGAAAAAGAAGACACCCTTAACTATGTATTCCGTGGACTATAGCCCTCCCATTAGCATGCAACCAAGGGTTACAAGCATTAATTAAACTTCATGCCAGCCTGGGCATGAGTCACAATTGCTAGTCCCACTGGATCAGTTATTGATTGGTACCTCAAGCTTGACAAAAAAATCCTACTGATTCAATGGGTCATCTCTAGCTGGGTTTAGGCATCGGTCTCCACCATCTTCCTGACTGTGCCTTTCAGAATGGACACAATCCCTTCCAACTATCTTCATCTTTGCAAGCAACAGTTCCCACTTTTGGGTCTGGGTTCTGGTGCAACCGGAAGGAGACCAAACAGAGAGGGGATACCAAAATGGGAACAGGCTCCATGACCCAGCAACACGCCCACAGCAACGGTGGTCGGGTGACCTCAAAGGAAATTACGTTTCCGCAGAGGGAGGAAAGCAGTGCATCATTCTTTGGAAACAATACAGTCGTGATGGCGAACCTGCCCTTTCCGTACTGAACAACCTGGCTCTCACCAAGATGGATTGCTCCAAAGAGATGCACTGGATCACCTGCACTGATAGGGTTCTTTGCTGCCTCTCTTAGACATGCATGCATGATCAGATGTCACTTTTCTAGCCATGAAATTAAAAAGACAATTTCTTGGCTTGAGGGAGAACCTTTTTAGGGCACATATTTGACCTCAATAAACTGGGATCAAAAGGCAAGGCTTCTTTTAAGTGTAGACCCTCTTCTCTTACATTCTGTCCAACCTCATTTATTCTTTCTACTTATGCCCGGATGGAACTCATGGGACAGGCTTGGTGCAAATCAGCCCAGTCCAAGAACATCCAGCTGGCATTTTGGGTTGGTGGGGTTACGAACTCAAATCCCTCCAGCCCTAAACCATATTTGATTGTATGTTATTTACAGTCATATATTTTTGTTGCTCTGTCAACGTCCTCTTTGTTGCTGTTGAGTGCCATCAAGTCAGAACTGACTTATAATGACCCAAATTAGGCTTTCAAGTGAGATATTTAAAGAGTGGTTCTACCAGTTCCACACCCCCAGTGAGGCTTGAACCCAGGTTGCTTGAGTCTTAGTCCATCACTACACCACACTGGGTCTCCTGGACTACTCTTACAAGCATAATGCAACAGATGGATAACAGAAAAGACACTCACTCTACCCACTACACCACACTGGGTCTCCTGAACTACTCTTACAAGCATAATGTAGCAGACGGATAACAGAAAAGACACAGGACCAGTTAAGCGCTAGGCAATGTGTTAAGGTTTGTCAAAGCACGGTGAAAAATCAGAGGTGGTGAAGAGTCCAGTGGGAAGACCTACCATCCCGGTCCGCCATGCTGTCAAAGAAAAGCCAAGCTGAATCCCCCTTGCCATATTTAACAAACGCCACATAGTGGCTCGTCTCTATACACAAAACGGCAAACAACTCCATCTTCTGACAAGGTATACAGCCATGCCTCCAATCCCAATCCGGTAGATCTTTCGGAAGCGACACAGGGTTGAATTTATGGCTCTGCCTTTTCGGATGGAGATGAACCTACAAGTTAGGGAAGTGCCTCTGTTAGAATAAGCTTTTGATGAGATGAGAGGAGTCCTTGCTATTTTTCTGAAGCCACCCAGTTCCCACTTCTCCTCCCACGGGACAGCCTTGTGGCGCAGCGGTTAAACTGCAGTACTGCAGCCAAAACTCTGCTTACCACCTGGGTTCAATCCCAAGGAGCTGGCTGGAGGATGACTCAGCCTTGCATCCTTCTGAGAATGGTAAATTGAGTGCCCAGTTCTCAGGTGGGATGGAGGGCAGCGTGCAGTCTGCATAAGTCTACAAGCAGCACGCTATAGCTACCCTAAAGAAAAGATCCTCATTCCCGAGCTGCAGTGAGATGGGACGCAACACCAACTGCATTCCGAAAGACAAACACACCTGGGTGTTGCAGGTTTTGCAAAACTGCTTGATTTTGCCAGCAGAGATTTCTGTGTCTTCATAGCACTCGCGACATTCATACATGGCAAGTCCTCCACATATACGGCACTGCCGAGGGGCTGTATTTTGGGAGAGGAATGTATTTCTTATCAAGATTTTGCACATTGAAAAGAGGTATTCCCTCCAGAACAGTACTCAGAACTACTTCTCACTAGTAGTAACCGGGACACAATAATTAACAAGACACACTTAACAATATGATTCTTTTAATAACAAAACTATCCTGTCATATCCAAAGGACAAAAATAATCACACAATGACATAAAACTAGGCGCAATCCCTGACTCCCTCCTCCTTGGGGGAAAAACTTAGTTGTAGCACATTATTTCATTTTTAAAAACGAGTAAGTGAAACAGATCTAAGTGTACTCTGCAGGCAACGCCTATTCTCTTCCTCCCGAACTGCAAGCAGAACAACTCGCCTTCCCACACAATTGGGGAGTTTAGCTTTTCAGGGCTCCCTCACATTGTGTAATAGTACATCGGTTCCCAATCTTAGGTATCTCAAATGTTCTTGGCTGCAGTTCCCCGAAGCCTCCGTCACGAGCTGTACTGGCCAGGGCTTCTGGGAGTTGTAGTTCAAGAACAGCTGGGGTGACCCAAGGATGAGAACCACTGATGGAGTCTGAAAGTTTCCTCTTTGGAGTATCCTTCTCTGTGTGAAGCCAGCAGCAGGCAAAGAGGCAGGACCGGAATTCTTGCCCTATTTGTATAAAAAAGAAACCTTTTTCCAAATCACTAACCCTTGATGGAAAAATGGGTCCTGTTTTGTTTTTAAATGTGCTACATTTCTCCTAGCGAGGGGAGAAGGCTAGATCTCTGCCTGCATGGAAAGCTGGACCCTACCTGCCTATCTCCAGTCAACCACTAATGCGGTCCTCCTACAATTGTGTGTTAGATTAAACTACTTCCTGAGTATGCCTAAACAGGACATGATTCTCACAGTTCGCAGAAAGTCCACATTCAACAACAGACAGCAAGCAATCCTTTTGCTTATAAAATAGCCCAACACGGCTGGACAAAATCCAATTCTTTCGAAAGATTCAGGGACTTCTCCTTCCAAACCACCCTCAAGAACGCTGTATACTCACTGTCTTCCAACAGATCCGTGATATTTAATTCTAGCGAAGGAAAGATTTTGTTGAACATTTTAAAGTCTTTCCCAAAACGGGGCATCTGAATGATGAGGCAGGAGGGAGCCTAGTGAGAGAGAACGAGAAAACGTTTTGCCTTTCAGTCAAATCCCAGATCCAGTTGTGGTTTCACATGCATCCAGCTTAATCCAGTGCTGAGTCAAAACTGATGAAAACGGTGAAAGGAAAAACAGGCTCCAAACCTCAGCAAATTTCAAGTTGCTATTGATGAAAGACCATTCCAATAATTGCTGGATTGTAGGAACGCCAACCTTTTCGTTCTTATCCATAAAAATCTGATAGAAGTAGCAGTCCTGGACCTTTTGACCTGCTGATCTAAGAAAAAATAGCATTTTAAAAACAGACTGTGCTAAACAGGGGTTGGGGTTAATGCTGGCCAAAAGGGAATATTTAGCTGTTACTGGAGGCACTGAGGTTAAGAATTTGATATTGTAAAGTTATAATTGCAGAGCAGGAATCAAGAAGCTTGCAAGACAACTGAAGAAATTCATTTGCGAAACAATGCTCTGACAAAAACCTAAACTGTTGTCAGAGAAACTAACACCATTCAAGCCAGTCATAATATTCAAAGATGTTTAGTACAATTAGCTACTGCCTTACCTGTGCATCTGTAACTTTCAGGCAGCCCCTGATACTTAAGACTACACAGCAAGGAGATACTAAGAATGTTGGCTTCCATACTTCTAAACTCACTGTTTAGCTATGCACATTTTAAAAACAACCACACTGGAACAGACTTCAGCAGCTACAAGTTGGAAAGTTACTTTTTCCAGTTCAAGAGGTCTACTGCAGAAGCAAACAATTATTTTACCTTATTTTTAATAGTGGCTCCACTCTTAGGATATGATGGAACAAAATATTTAAAAATTCTTCCGGATCTGTTGAAAACGAAAACCCAAAAAAGTTAGATCAAGATGCATGTTATGTATATGTTAAATAGCTTATGTGTTTTTACACAAAATAATTTTGACCAACGATCACTACAAATTAGCAGAAACCCGATCTTAAAAAGTAGAGATAACAAAAATAGAGGTGGGGACTAAAACATAAACACACAATCCTAACAATCCTAAATCCAAATGATAATCCCAAATAGAATAAATTTGGTGAATCAACAGAATTAGCCCACGAGTTGACTAACTAGCAACCGGTTCACTGGGTCACCTCTACAGCCAGCAGTTGAATTAAGCCTAACGTCAAAGCTATAAACCAGACACCTCCAATAACCGGCAATTCTAGCTGCAAGTAGATTTTATTATTCAAAGAAGAAATTATGTCAATATGCCTGTTTCAGGCACAGTCTCCAACATGCAAGTACACACAGCCGTAACTAAAAGTGCATGATCCATAGGGTTCCCCTGCAGTACTGCAATTCTAAAATGGGTCCTTTCAAGGAGAAAGGTGGGGTAAAATATTTTAAAATAAATAATAAATAAACGATGACATTTCTTTTTCACTGCCAACAATATAGAACTCAACTGACCTTTTTCTTCAGAGGTGAATCCCGATGCTGCTTCAACTTTTTCCAGTATTTTCCTCAGCTTCATTATTTTCGTTGCACATACATAGCCGTATCTAGAATATAAAAATCAGCAAGCTGAGCAGATGGGGATGCCCATGGTGTACATGCGTGCACACACACACACGACCCTAAGAAATACGGAAACTGAAGGGAGATATCACACCAGTAGCAGACGCAATTACAAAGTTGGTCTCATGTGATTTTCTCCTCTTTCAGATGCTACTGGGAAGCATATATGGAGGAAGAAAATGCACTGATGTTTGAACAGGTTCTTGAATGTCAAGCACCATGTTTCACACAACAGTGTCTCAGTTCTTTTGATTCAGACCAATGAATCTTTGTTGAGCACAAACTTCTCTAAAAAAAGACTACCATGTTCTGAATGTACATGACCTTCTACCAGCACCTCTACTAAGTCCAAAAACAGGAAGTTCCTTTTGTCTCCACACGGCCCTTCTCTATCAAGTAAACAGTCTTAGGAATGCCACATCTGGTTGACATATCCAGTGATGAGACTGGAGTTACATTTTTAAAAGATACCGTAGGACGAACTAGATAGAAAACGACTAAAACGGTCAAGTGGGAGCTGTGGAAGTTTTAAAGCTGGACAAATTACACAGAGTAGCACAATGTGTTTTCTGATTTTATTTTATTTTTATCTTTAATGAATCCTTTCTATCACTGGCTCGCCTGCTGAAAACACAGGAACACAAGCCGCAACAATCTAACTTATAGGCTTTATAGAGGATCATGAAGCACGTTCCAGAGAGCATATAAGAATTCATATCCCTCGGTTCTCCCTGCATAAGCCAAGAACACACCCAGATCTCCAAACCAACCATTACAAACAGGAAGCCACTGTAAACTTGAAGGAGTAAAGCAATTACGGTGACATGAAAATCAATTGATCTCTCCGCTGGTTATACTTACATTCTGAGGGGATTTACTATCTCCGTCCGCAGGAGCTCTTGCGTTTCGCTATAATATTCTACATCATTTTTCTCTTTCGGTCTCAGCAAGACCGTGTCCAAAACAGAGCTGAAGGCAAATAGGCTGAAAGAAGGGAGACATTAATGTCAATCTGGAAACACAGCAAAAAAAAAAAAAGAGAGAGAAGAAACTTTAACGCTGAGATGGCTGTGGAGAGAATGATGACTGCAGCTTCTGTGGGCAAGGCAGGAATTAGTCCTTAATATCAACCAGCAACAAAATGTGAATTTTGGCAGAGTAAGCCCTTGCCAATCGCAAACCTTACTTGCATACTACAGGACATGATATGTAGCACATTTAATTGGGTGTTCCTCGTTTATACAGTGTAAACTGTACCAAATATCAAAGGGGGAGAAACAAAGAGAGGGAAAGGTGCCCTTAAAAGGGAAAACCCAAGTTAAGATAGAAAGACAGCCCAACTTTATTCCAATACTTCAGAATTGGAAGCAGACGGTGCAACTTTGGGAGAAAGGACAGAATTAGTGGAGGGTACCTAACAGTAGTCAAACGATTCTCATACGGGCCTGGAGGAATGGTCTTGTTGGCTATGGGCTTCTGGGAGTTGGTAGCCCCCCAAAAAGTAGCTTCCCCCAGTCTCTGGTTGTTATTGTCTTTACGGAAAACCTTGTAGCAGAGCAGAGAGCTTTTTTAAAAAAAAATTAACTAACCACAAAGAAGAGCTCGTTGCAAGACTAAATCATGACTGTAAGCAAGTAGAAAACATGTGTGTCTCTAGTTCCTTCTCTGAATGAAGCAATGCGGAAAGAAAGGCTATTTTTTACCCTAGAAAATGGTTTGGCCCTGTGAGTCACAGCCAGGTAATGAACAGGCAAGGACACGGGGTGGTTCTCTTGCATTGCTGTTACTATTAGGTTTTTAAATGGTGTTCTGGCTTTCCTTTTTTTCCCCCCGTTGTATCCTTTTCTTGTTTTGTTGCTGTTGTTTTGGAAGACTAGAGATGGGCATGAACTGCTCATTCGGAGGAGGCCCTGGCAGAGCAGCTTCTACCGATTCTTTCAGAAACTTCTCCCTAGAATCGCCCCCGACACTTTCTCAGCCACGATCTCACTCTCCTTCCTTTGAGTAGACAAGCCCTCAAGATCCAGAGGGAACACAAGGAAGTTGATGGAATCCAAGTCATTTGCACACTTTTACAGCCCGTATAGGTTTTTTGGGAGGAGCACAAAAACAGCACCCTATACAGGTACATTATTAACAACATAGAAAGTGCCTAAACAGTTTAAGAACCACATAGAAACCAAAAGGTAACACGTGCAGCTGTTAGATCACCACCACGGCACCAAGTCTCCATATGAATTATTTGTCTGATTTTTGGGTGCACTCATGACATGACTCATCATGCTGGAGTTTCTAACAGAAACAGCACCCTATACAGGTACATTATTAAGAACATAGAAAGTGCCTAAATAGTTTTAAGAACCACACAGAAACCAAAAGGTCACACGTGCAGCTGTTAGATCACCGCCACGCCACCAAGTCTCCATATGAATTATTTGTCCAATTTTTGGGTGCACTCATGACATTTCTACCATCATGCTGGAGTTTCTAACAAAGTGCTAGATCCTTACCAGAATAAGGTGGAGTCCAAGTAGCAGGAGTTGTAGTGACCCTGAATTCCTTTCTTTTTTCCAATCATTGTTTCTAAGCCTTCTTTTTCCATTTTTGGAGGAGTGTTTTCCTCAACCACTTCACTCAGGTAACCTCCGAAAGCTTAATAATAATAATAAGGGTCAGAAAAAGCATATGTCCAATGCTTCTAAGACAAGGTGCATAAAAATCAATGATTTTTTAAAAATCAAATTGAATTTTAAAATGTAAAGCATTAAAAATGATTTTTTTTAAACTATGATTTAATTCAATTTGATTTAAATCAACCGCTAGGAGGAATAAACAGTGCTTAGATGGGACTGTCATATCAAAGAGGAAAGGATAGATACTTTATCCTTTCCTCTTTGATATACGTGTGTGCCAAATGTTAATTATAATTTAACACTAAACTTCAGATATACTTTGTTTCAAAAGAAGATCCTTAAGAAAAACAACATCTCGACAACTCCCTTTTCCACTGATTAAAAGTCTACTTTATTAAATTGCTTTATTGAAACGTTTCTGTCATTGGAAATGTATCCAATTTGTTCCATGTCGACTATAAAATCATTAAGAATTGGAGAGAAATGACTTTTTGGGGTGAGGATAAGCAGAGAAGGACAGAGAGGAACACTACCTAAGGAGTTGCAGCGTTCGATCTGGTTGGACACAGGCTGAAGTGAAGCAAATCTGGAGTCTGGCCTGCAGCTCTTCAGCTTAACAAACAGGGCCTTCTTGGGTGCACAAGTGAAGTAGCGAGTTCCTTTAAATGTTCCATCAGTACAGCCTGCGCATTCATCTTCCTGCAAAAAAAGGGGACCGAGGCCTTGAGCTGTCGCAACAAAAAAATTAATAAACAGGACTACCACCTTGGGAGCTCAACACCCAGTTTGAAAACACCCAACAGTGCTTCTTTCTTAAAAAAAAAAAGGGACGGGTTGCAATCCTACAAATGCTGATGGGTCATGTGACCATTCCAAGACTTTCTATCCACCCACACACAAAACAGACAGCAGCGAAGCAGAAACAATGCAACACTTCCACTAGTATTCGGTGTTGGTTGTGTTCAAACAGCATTCCGGGCGACTCCGTGTTCCTTCAGAAGCTTCTCAGAAGTTTCTCAAGGAAAAGACATGACAATGGCCAAATTTTCCCCCGAAAGACAGATCAGGAGCAGGCATGAAACGTTCACATTCTGCAGGAATTTCTCCAGCCAGAATTCTGGGATCATTTGCCAAGTATCAAGATTATCACAGTTATTGTTAGTATTGTAAAACTGAAGAAACTTTGACATGATAGCGTTCATGAAGATTGGACATCCCGGGTTAGGGCTAAGCAAGAGCCTTGTGACACAGTCATTAAACTGCAGTCCTGCAGTCAAGACTCTACTCCTGACCTGAGTTCAATCCTGACTGATGCAGGTAGCCTTGATAAGACAAATGGCACACTGAACCTTTATTTCAATACTGACCATCAAAACTGACACTGCACTTGATGCATCATTAGGAGCACATGTTTCAGCCAAAACAGTCTCCTGCAAACTTTGTGAATGAACAATCGGAATGCAGATGAAGCCTCTTTCTACCCTCCTGGTAACCAATCACAAAACAAAACATGCTAATTTGCAACTCACAAAGAGATCCGAAGAGCTTGGCAGATAACAGGCAACCCTTAAGACCTGAGGATTTGATGCTTCTAAAAACTGAACTCTCTGTAGGAGCTTTATACATGACAGCAAAGTAAATATGTAGTACTGAGGGATGGGGCAACACACAGTCTGAGGTTAAAATTACCAGTTCAAGTCCTGCTAACACTTCATTGACCCCGGGAGGCTGCCCAATCCACCGGATGACTCCATAGAAAGGTGGGTTCTCTTTCACTTCCGCCAAGGAACCAGCTTCAAGCCCATGCGTGTTGACAGGTGTGGCCGCCGAGGGTGGGCTCTCTTGGGTCGGCCCGGCATTCCCCTCCCCAATCACTGACTGAACCGACAAAGACAGTGGGCTGTGTCCGATCCCACTGTTATTGCTGGACATCTTTGTCAGACTGAAAGGCAGGGAGTGGAATCTATTTTCTGCAGACAAAGTATTGGCTGGGGGTGGCTGCAGCGGTGGCGAAGAATGGCCAAATCCGGAAGAGGAGTCATTCAGCGATTTCGCAGAGTCCTCGGCCACTGTCGTTGTCAAAAAGTAGGGGGCCGGGTGGGGAACAAGCAAAAAGAGGGGAAACAGAACAATATTTGTTAACGTTTCGGTACGAATACAGTGTGCATTCTACACAAAAGAAATAAAATATGCTTGGAATCTCGCTCTCCTGGACCAAATTCTATTATGAAAGAATGACCTACTTAAAAAAAAGCAGACTGGCACTTGTTCAAAAGAAAGCAGGCAAGATGAATTAATCAGGGGCAAGCGTTTTTCTAAAGTCAGCATCGAAAGCTTAAAGGAGAGAAGCTTTGGGAGAAGGAGATTTGGGCTGCCATTTTTATTTTCATCTCATTTGCTGTGATGATTTCAAGGACGTGGGTCTCCCCTTGGCTTCACAACAACCCTATTAAGATGGGCTGAGAGCTGGCGAGTGGCTCAAAGCCCCTTTGTCACTTTCACAGCAAAGCAGAGATTTGGACCTACAAATCCAGTTCTAGTCCAGTGTGCGTTCACCTCTGCATCCCACTGGCTCTATGTACACGTCTTACCTGTTCTCAAGCTGGAAATGACCTACAGTAACACTAATAGAGCTCTCATGTTGAGATATTAAAGGAGTAGGTTTTACCAGTTGCAGATCTCCAGGAAGCTTCCATGGTAGGTCAAGGAAACGCAGGTCCTAGCCTGTCATTCTATCTATCCACTACACCACACTGAAATACACATACCTTCGAGTAAAATATCCATGAACACAATCTTCCAACTAAACATACCCAGAATTGTGCTGCCATGTATGCTTTTTATACTCTTACTCTTGAAGTTGATATATTCTACTGACACCGTATAGATCTACATTTTAATAAAACTGGCAGACTATGGAGAAGGATAAAGGCCATAAAATCCTCACCCAACTTTGCCTGGTGAAGTTGAGAAGAGCCATGGAAATTCAGCAACAAGCTAATCTGCAATCATCATCATTACTAGAACAGTGGGCTTCTGACAATAACTTTGATTGTTGGGGTACCTCATTGAGGTAGGCATGCATCTCTAAAACACTTATCGCTAATCCTTAACAATCCACATTTCTAGCACAATACCGAACTGTCTGTTTTTATTTTGTTTTTTTCCCAGGGAAAGAGCAAATCCGTGCAGTTTGTTCAGTTCATGCAGGATATCTGAAGGAACGCAGAGGCTTATGACCATACAGGTAACTCTGTTCCTGCACCTAGAATCTTCTGCCTGCAGGCTGCCTGTAGCCGGTGGGCTCTGCTTAGCAGACAAGAATTCCTTTCTGGTTTTTAAAAATCTGAAACACGGAAATCTTGAGAGCCAAGGTTTAGCGCCAAGGAAGCAGCTCTGCACCCCCCACCCACCCACTGCTAGCAAAACCACTGAGAGGTCCTGTAGAAAGAGGACAACATTGCCAGCTTGTTACTTTAAGACATGCAAATAAACCATGAGTCAAGGATCAGTACATGAAATCACAAGCGGCTGCAGCAGTAAGATACTATTTATATTCCTCTTGCCTCCTATCTTTTTAGTCTAACTGGCTGGTCTAATAGGCAGAATGGGCTCAAACCTTCAGAGAATATTGCCTGAGGGCTTATCCATTAGGAGTGAAGAGTTCAGGGTACTCCACAAAATGTGCCAAGTAACATGCTTTCAGTTAGCCAATAAACATTGGCCAGTAACCAGGAAACTAACTCTTTAAGCCTGGGGGGGCCTTAGACTTTCCTTCTCCCTCACAGCCACCGTAACCAATTGCTACTGCAACTGTGGGCAATTTTCAAAAGCTGCTTGAAAGAGGGTACAGGGGTCAGCTGTTCAAAGGAGACAGTAAAATAATGCCCCTGAGCTAGAGCCAAGTAAGTAGCTTATGTGGGACAATGCCCAGCTCAACTCAATTAATGCTTTAAAGACTTTTTTTAAAAAACCCAGAATAGCTAGTGTTTGCAACATTACGGCTGACATCCTGTTTGGAGTGTAAGCACAAGCATAACGTTCCTTTCTCATAAACAAACAGCCACTGTAGCAATTCCCCTGGGTTGATGCAGGCACACCCTAAAGAATTGCTGCCGCTCAAGGCAAGAACATAAATAAAGTTACGTTCGGGCTTATGCTATGAGCAGGATTTCAGCTTGTAATGCAGAATCACTACCCACTTTCAAAAAGGCTGCTAGTAAATCACGTTTTTTTCTCCATAAGGAATAGCTGGGAATGACCTGAACAGATTTGAATGCACTCTCTCTCTCTCTCTCTTTCCATAGTTATAAGTCAGTGCTACAAATTTCATGAAGGATTCCCTCTCATTACCTTCATCAATATACCATGTGTTTTTGGACTTCATCTGTGGTTGAGAATCTACTGAAGAGCCATTTAAGGTGTAGAAAAACTCTGATCTGCTTCTGCTTCCGGGATCAGGCAGTGCACCTAAGGCAAGGCATGGCATAAAGAAAAAAATATATATATATACAGTGTCCATAAGGAAAAACACCATCAATATTAACTGAAAAGAAGCTTCATGGACCTTGAAAAGCAGCTTTCTCCAAAGTGGTCTTCTCCAAACAGTCTATTACACCATGATGGGGAAAGCTTTTCTTAAAACAAAGTCTGTTGCTAAAAATCATGAAGTAACAGCAGAAGACCTATGGAACTGGTCCAATTCTTTTCAACATGGCATGATCTCCTGCAGATGAACCATCCAACAAAGCTGTGTTCCCTGCTTGGATTTTCAACACAAGCAATATTTTCCAAGAAGGGAAACTATGTACATTACTGAACTATAGCTCTGACATTTCCTCCAGTAGGGCTCTAAGCCCTCAACACATTTCAGGATCACGAAAAAAAGGGGGGGAATTATTAAATTATAAGAGTAATTCTCAATCTCTCGTCCTCTATTTTGTACTTCAAATCCCCTGAATCCTTGAGCACTGGCCATACTAGATGGGGCTTCTGGGAACTTAACTCCCCAGACTCTGGATGAACAAAGTTGAGAGCTTCTTGATTAAAAGGGATATATCTGAAGCAGATATTTGACTGAATATTGTTTGCTACTATAGATGTGAACAAGTTCCAGAAAGATAACTAAGTTCCATCTCTTGTAGCGAGAACAATTATTCTGTAGCACTATTTTTAAAAAAACCTAACAAATTTATTATGACAAGTTTCTGGAACCCAGAGACTGTATTGCTTCAAGACTTCATATACTGATCAGAACACTGAATGAACAGAACCCCCAAACCTGATGCCATATTCAGTGTAGCACCTTAAAAGCACCATTGTTGTTTCAGAGTAGAGCAGTCATACTGAACCATAGCAGCTAGTGATTGAGGAAGCTGGCTGCCCTATTGCCAACTGATGAAGGCGGGCACCCACTTTTTTCTGAATCCATGAGCTAGAAAGAGCATCCAACATTCCTATTCATTTCTGGAATATTTATTTATTAAGTTCCCATCCTTCAGCACATGACACTTACGAAAATAACTAGAAAGAAGTACCTGTTGATTTTGGCTTATTGTGACCAAACCCTTTATCACAGCCACTCCGAGCAGTAAAGGCAAGTTTTGGAGGTCTCCTGTCCTGAGATACAGCCTCTAAGAACAGAGCAGAGCTGTTAATTTATTTTATTTTAAGGAATTTTTAAAATATAGAGTTCACAATATAGTGTTTCGATGTATGAGCGCCAATGCCCCAACTTAATACAAAAGAGGCGCCACTCCAAGATAGAAGCAGTATATTCTTCAGCAGGTCAGCGTATCTCCAGTTGCAAGAGATAGACACAGAACTCAACAACACTCTCAAGGAGACGACAGTACAAAACCGCTCTCAATTCCAGAAACATTTCCATTAAAAAAAAGGGGGAGTCACACACAATGGGAAGTAACCTGTCTCAGGACTTCTAAGTAACTGCAAGGTAGGAACCACATTGGGTAACATGGCGCTTTCATCCTCATCAGGACATTCAGGATAGAATGAAGTGGAACACATGAGGAAAAGGAACATGGTAGTCCCGCCCCTTTTTTAATCATCACTTCCTTTACACGGGAAGTGATCATACACTGTATGCAGCTGACAAAAGCTATGACTGTCCAGATAGCTTAGGAAATGTGTAGCACAATCTCCCTCTCAGACGATCGCCCTCCATTACTGAAATACATCACCATTTTGTCCCATCTTTTTACCATTTTATTTGCTACTAAAGGCAGTTCTGCTGGATTTATTTTTACAGTAAAGATCCATAAACTGAATGTTTGGATTCTTTCTTTCTTCACAATAAACTGCATGGCAAAACACAGTCGTAAAAGACAGTAATTGCGGCTAGTGAGAAGCTATTGATACAGCAACAAAGCTACTGTTTCCTTCAGGTTTATGCTCATTTCCGGCATGGTTTGGGGAGGCACAAATATTTATCACACTTTTCAGCCTCTGCCTTTTATTTAATTTTTCTAATAATGAAAATATGATCAACTTTTGAAAAAAAAAACCCACACACATAACCCCAGATAGCCTCCTTTCTATTTCCCCCCAAAATTTTTTTTCCTTTTTCTGCTAAAGATATGATTACAGGAAAGAAAGGAAAAAACAGATCAGAGGATGGGGAAAGAAAGCTAGACATGCATAGTAAGCAGTAATTTTAATAAAAAAAAGTATTGTGTTTTTTTTTCAGCTTTCCACTAAATCAGACTTCTCACCAAAACAGCATGTTTTCACATACATAGCAGTAACATCTAAGGATTTTTAAGCATGCAAGATATCCCTTAAAAGTGTTCAAATGAAAATGAGTCTCTATGTTTTCATAATCAGAATATAGCTGTTCAATTACATTTTAACCAAGTTGCCCCTTGGGAACAACTCTATTAACGCACTTCAGTTACTTTTGCCAGAGTACATTAGCTTATCTCTAGCCTGCCAGCCAAAATGCATCTTTTGAAAACACTGATCTTTCAAGGAAAATATACTAGCACATGATATTAAAAAAGCAAGAGCAGTGCATTGCCTCGGGTTCTTACAAGCTCCAGATCAGCCTAACAATTAGAGCTCACTTCATCGCAAAATATGTTTTGAAGTCCATGGAGATTTGGGGGTGGGGGTGGGGAGAAGGGGGCTTTTAACTTAACATCTTCTTCTTCTGTTCTCTATGGATTATAAGCATGACAACTTCTACTCCAGTCTTTCCACTATCTAGTGGGCAATATTTCACCTCCAGTATTTCAGGCAGGGGCTTTCAATAGAAGGTGCTCAGGAGCATGTATTCAAAGATGTGACAACATTCATTCCCTGTTTGTGGGCTTTCCAGAGGAATCAGCCTGGACAATTTTGAGAACAGAATGCTCAAACCAGCTAGTATGAACCATTAAAGGTTCTTAAGCACATCAGTGCCTCAACCTGGTTCCTTTTTTGCATCTCAGCTCAGAAATAATGGTGCCAGTTGCACTTCTAACCTTTCTTCTGCTCTGCTCCACTACTCCTTCCAGAACTTTGAGGGGAAAGCTACTCACCCATTTAAATTTCATTCTCACCGGCATCCATGGGACATCCATGTCTGCTTCCAAGTGTTCCAATTCTCTTGGCAACCAAGCCATGGCTAAGCCTCACCTAGAATACTGTGTCCAGTTCTGGACACCACATTTTAAGAAGGATGCCAACAAACTACAGCAAGTTCAGGGAATGAACAGGGGAGTGGAACGAAGCCCAAGGAGTAAAAACTGAAATAACTGGGAATGTTTAACCTTGAGAAAAGTTTGCTGAGGGAAGACAGGATAGCACTCTTCAAATTCTTGAGAGGTCGTCATACAGAGGAGGGACACGATCTGTTCTCAGAGTGCAGGATAGGTAATAATAGGCTCATGCTACAGGGAACCAGATTTAGACTGAGTACAGTATTAGGAAAAACTTCTTCACTGTTAGAGCAGTATGACAATGGAACCAATAACCTCAGGAAGTGGTGAGTGCTCCAACGCTGGAGGCATTCAAGAGAAGAACTGGACCACTATCTCTCAGATCTGCTTTGACCAACCCCCTGCTGGACCACGGGGTTGGACTCAATGGCCTTACAGGCCCCTTCCAACTTCATGATTCTAGGATTCTACAGCCCTTTTTTGCTCAAAACTAAGGTCAGGGTCCACAAAGAAACCCAGCGTTTTCTGTGCCCCTCTTCATTGCAGTGTCACTCGCCCCAACTTCCCATTGTTTAAGAAGGGTATTTGTCTCTCCGTGCAGTCAGATGAATGCCCTGGCACAAGGAAAGCTTCTGTACTCCAGTCACGCCTGCAGTGTATAGGCAACTTGTACTGTTAGAGCTTTTGAATAGGGAGGAAGGGGGGGGAAGACACTGTACTAAGAGAGAGAAAAAGAACAGATTGCCTGGAGAGCTGAACACCACTCATGAATGCCAACTCTTTTGTCAGAGCATATGTGGGCATCGCCAGAACATATTCCTTTTGAAGAAAGTGTACGAAAACAATCCAAGGCACAAAGTCCTCCTTATTATGAAAATACTGTAGGAAATATTTTGAAGCACTGTGTATCACTTCTCACCAGAGGCTTCAGTGTTCGCAGCCTGCGTGGCAATTAAGCCGTCACATGTTACTAAAGGGAAAGAAAGGCTTTCTTTCACCTAGTGCAAGTCAAAGTCCCTACCCAAGACACTGCCATGCTACAGGACCACAGTTTCTCAGCCAAGAAACCAAGTGCAGTTTGATAGCGGTTATAGGCCCTAAACCGGTGTATTCAAAAACCAGAGCTGATCCAAGAAGAACAGCAATCCCAGAAGACAGAATGGTGTTGTTATGACAGGTCACAAGGAGAGGCATGAAGGAAGAGAGGCATACAAAGCGGTCTGAAACCCAAGGTCTCTGAACATCATGTCCAGAAAACCAGGGGTGGTGTGGGTTAACGAAAAACCATTTGGTTAGTCAAAATTTGTCCCAATAGATATGTTGAACACTGAAATGAAAGAGCCAACCGTAAACGATAGTACCACAAGGAGAAGATACAAATATGAATGCTAAAAATTAGGATTTAAATACACAAACACATGCACGCACATAAAATATGAAAAACATACCTGGGATAACATCATTGATATGCAAGAGGAGTGTGCTTTCCACACTTGCAAAACTACAGAGCTGCTGTCCATTGTACCTTCCATCCCAATTTCCAATTGGATTATCCTAAAAACCATTTTAAAACACTGTTAGGTGTTGGCCTAAGAGCAGAGCAGGAAGACTTTAAAAAAAAAAAACAACATCTGCAAGGTTCAGTTAAGGCCGCAGCACATGCAACCTAGACACAATGTACAAGCACTCGCAAGAAATGCCAAGGCGTGCTGCTTTGCAACCGCATTTCATGTATGCTGCTTGTCACATTACCATTCTGTCTTCCGCTGTCAGAGAAACAGAATGCACTCTACGAGTGCCACAGACATTCAGACATGGATGACTGCCACATTAATTTTTTTAAAAATAATAATAATAACAAAATAAATACAGAAGTACTCTCCCATGTCTTGGGGAAAAGCCAAGCAAAGTTTATCAGCAACACAGAAAGTCCACAACTAAAGCCATTCACAACAGATACATAAATGGCTTTCATGCTTGCCTGAGATCGCTTTTACCGCTCTGATATTAAGAGGCAGCCTCCAATACTCAGAAGACATGCCTGCTTCCTTACTACATATCAAAAGTAAACAAATACATCTATTTATACTTCAAAGTGCAAAACAGTGGGGGACTTTTTGCCATGCTGAATGCTTAGTAATATTCTAAGAGTTAACAACTCCACTTCATTTTTTTTTTAAATTTCAAAGCCTCATAAGCCCCTTCTAATTTCAGAACACAAGTACTGGGAAGATAAGGAACTATCCTATAATACTGAAGCACTTTTGAAAATTATACCTTACAGCTAGCATACAAATTCATCTAAAAAATAGCCTTGTATTGTTACAGCAGGCAAATACTGGTAAGGACTCCTTTATGGAGCCGCCATGAAAAAAAGCCAGTAATACCAACCCCAGAACATTATTTAGCAAAGTAGACTGGGCATCACAAGGCATTAACACAGATATTTTGCCTGGGTGCTTCAAGCAAGTTTTAATGGATTTTTACAAAGACCACAAACCTGCCCAGCACACTGACTCGCCTATCTGACCAAGGGTGTCTGTGTTAATCATTTGCAGGCAAACACAAAATAAAACCTCTTGAAGTTTTAATTTATCATGGCCTGAGTGCCCGGAGAAGACTCTCCCTCACCTGGACCAATCCTGCAAATGGCTTCTTCTGACCGCCCCCCCCCCCAATATATATTTACCTGATGCTAAACAAAGCTGCTGGGTGGTAAACTGTAGATGGCAAAAAGAATCACAGGTAGGCTGCGAATATTCCACCCCACCAATATTGCATGTACTTCTATTTTAAACACACATGCAAGAAGGTACAAGAATCAGGTGAATTTCTTACCATGTCCACTCCAACAACGTATCCTAAACTCTCGTTTCCTGGTAAGACATCACAGAATATAACTGTCCCATACTCTATATTCTTCCCTATCTTCACAGAAACCCTGGAGTTGAGCTCCAAAGGCGGAAGGTCTACCTGCATTGAGTCAATGGGAGCTGCATAGTCATTCTCCAGTTCATTGTCATCATCTTCCATCAGCTCTAGCTTGTCTAGTGCAACAAACACTCCACAGTCCTCGTCACATCTGAACAGCTGTTTGCCTTGGTACTGTCCATCAGTAAAACCCTGCCCACGACCTTCTTCCTAGGTTGGCAGAAGAAATACATCATGCGTTAGGTACTGTCACAAGAGGAATTTTCATACTGCACAAATTTTTGGTTAGCAATTAAGCTCACTGGTTAATTTTAAGCCAGTCACTCCCAGACATGTTTGGGGGGGGGTTGTTTTTCAAACCTCCAAAATATGGGGCATTCCGGGAGTTGTAATTCAAAAAAAGGAACCCTTCCTTATCTCCAGTTACTCCTACCCTCAACCCAACCTATTACACACATCGGTTACAAGGATAAAATGGTATGGAAGCCACATCGATAACCTTGTAACCCTCAGAGGAAAAACTGGATACAAATATAGTAAATAAATGGAAACTAACACTTACCAGAAGCTCCACTCCAAAATAAATCCCAGACAGCGATCTCTCTTGTATCAGAGGTCCTCTGAAGCGGACAACGCCAGGATATTTTTCTTCTCCTGATCTCAGCTGAACTTTCACCGGTGACCCGACTTCAATGTGGAGGCCCTTACTCAGCCTGCCCTTGCTTTTAAATATACTGTATCTTTCCTCACAATTGGTAATGGCCAACAGCAACTCTGCTCGTTTCTCGTCAATTTCAACAACATCTTTGTCGTCCACAAACAAGACCGCGTGAGGCTGCTCCAAAATCTTGATTCCGATTTGCATCTTTTTGCTTTTGGATGCAGGGTTGCTCCTGGCGTGTCCTCCGGAAGAGCGGTCTTGAACAAACTGACCGATGCTCCCCTTTGGTACTTTCAACAGCTTTTGAGTCTGTTTGTCTATAATGCTGCATTCTTGGAGAAGTAAATAAAACGTACGCTCTTCCCAAAAAGGAGAATTACCTTTTTCTTGACTCCAAGAACTCATTGTTGCTCAAACTTTATACGGACTCAACGAGGAATCTTCAGGGCAACCAAGCAGCCAGAAGAATAACTGCAAATAGAAGATTCCACAACAAAGCCAGAACTCTGATAATGAGTTAATAATTCTTCGTCCATATCCTAGTGAGCTAAATTCAGAACGGATGACCTGGTGCATAAAAATAAAAGATGGCATCACTGGGAGATGAAGGACCCCATTATAGGAGTAAAGCATAAGAAAAGCAGCCACTTTTGAAAGCAAACATCATCAATGATTTTTATAGACTTATGACAGGACTGAGCTAGCAAGAATGAAAACATTTTTAGTTAGCTTCAAAAAAATCTTGCAGAATTTTTTCCCTTCACAATAAAATTGACTTATCCTTTTTTCCCCTCATTTCCACAACTACAACTTTGTTTACAACAGGTATTTCTGACCGGCTACTATAAAGCAAAATTGGAAGTTGATACTGCATATGTCATGTCTTACAGAAAAGAGAGTGAGAACTAGGAAACTATTATCCCAGAGCCCACTATAGCTCACTATAAGGAATGTTCAGAGCAGTACATGTATAATTTCTGATACACAAGAACACCACAAATGTATGGCAAAAACAGCAAGCAGGTTAAACATTTCTAGAAATAGCCCAACAGAAATGAATGCCATGGCTATATTATGATTCAGTCCAATGCTAGTCTTCATGAGGACATGTTTCCCAAAAAAGCACATCAGAAAATAAATCAAATATAGCACTTCTGGTGGCTGGAAAGGCCAACAAAACCCTGACAGCCCAGTTGAGTTGAGACAGGATCCTCTCGGACTGGAGATGACAAGGCTTGTCAATAGCTTGAAATATGTTCTACATATCTATTTATTATTTCAATAGAGTTTGTTTCCAATTCAAGGTCTAAGTAAAAAGACACAAGCATATACAATTTTGTACCCATGTTTATTTGGCTGCAAATGGACCAAAAGCTACTTCTCAATTTCCCTCCACTTTCTATGGCCTATTCAGTGTATGTAGAGAAAAAAACTAGCCAGCATGATTGAAAACCTAAGCCATAGAGATACACAGAGGTGGATATCAAGACTGAGTGGAGGTTTTATTAAATAAATACTCTATTATAAACCTGGGCCTGATGTTACATGCTGCTGAGGAAGGTATTCTGTACTAGATACTGTGGATAAACAAGAGTTTGACTATCTCCTATACGTTCTAACTATGATTTTCGGCAAACAGAAACAGAATAATGCATAAATGTTTTCTTAAAACCTGTCCTCGTAAAACACTGGCATTCAAACTACTGTTTTGTATGAATACAATTACTGGATGTGCTGATGAGGGAAAATACAACTGCAGTGTTCTCTTATTGCTTCGGGGAGCTGTATTTCTTGCTATTGAGAAATGAGTGGCCAATCTTGATTTAATATATTGGGTTCTCATTTTTTTTCTTTTTTTTCTTTTGGCAGGAATTTCAATGTACATCAGGAAAAATCAACTATGATAAGCGGAGAAGTAAAACAACAATAATAGGGCAACTTAGGAGAGAGAGAAAAGATGGAGGCACAGAAATTAGGCCCGCCCAACAAAGACAATAGTACTATATTAGAAACTGTCTCCCTAAAAATTCATCAGATAATTTTAATGTTACGACACTGATGAAAACTTACTTCTGCAGACATTTCTGGAGTATAAACTATACGTTAATAGGTAAACGTAAAGATTCCCTTGAGACTTTTAGTCCAGTCGTGTCCAACTCTAGGGGGTGGTGCTCATCCCGTTTTTCAAGCCATAGAGCCAGCACTTGTCTGAACACAGTTTCCGTGGTCACGTGGCCAGCGTGACTAGGAAATGCCATTTTACCTTCCCACCAAGATGGTACCTATTTATCTACTCACATTTACATGCTTTCGAACTGCTAGGTTGGCAGGAGCTGGGACAAGCAACGGGAGCTCATTCCGTCGTGTGGATTTGATCTTATGATGGCTTGGTCTTCTGACCCTGCAGCACAGAAGCTTCTGCGGTTTAGCCCACAGCGCCACCACATCCAATATGCGTTAATAGCCACATATCATCTTCTTTCACTTTGAAGTTTAATGAGTTGTTGTGGAATAACCTTTCACAGAGTATTTGTTCTACTACATCTATATCCTCAATTTTCTCCATGGGTCTCAGAGAACATATGTGGTTCTCCTTTCCCATCTTATGTATTTTTTTTTCTCATCGAACTTCGCTGTCTTTCAGCCCAAACTCTGAATACTCTTCTTAACAACTCGATGCATTTCGACAAACACATATAGCGTTATCATGCAGAAGGATGCACAAGAATCCTTATCAACAAATGAAACCCTCAAGAACCTTCAAAGTTATCCACAACAACAAAGAGGAATGTGCCAGCAATAAGAGGAACACATTTTATTTGGCATAGGTTTTAACAACAAATATGTCATGCCCAATAAAACCTATTGGCCTTAAAGCTGCCACAAGTCCTTTTATTGCTCCAGTTGTAAAAGATCCACCCAGCTATCAAACATATCTTTCCATTTTTCAAACAACCACAGTTTTGCATTTCACTCAAACAAGGAAACTATGGTTACCAGAATGAGAAGCAGGTTAAGCTTTTAAGCCACATCTTAAAGTTCTCTTAACATCCTAGCTTGTGCAAATAAAACAGAAAACGGATTAATTAGAGATGTCTGAGTTTAACTGCAGCCCTTATGGAAAGGCCCTGTTTCATGTATATGCCTAATGCATTCCTTTAAAAGATCATGTGAATCCCAAAATTAAAATTAAAAGTCTATATCAGATAAATAAGATAAAAATAACAATCTAGGGTTTGTTAAAAAAAATAATTAAATCACGATTTAAATCACCATGCAGAAGGCAGGTTTTTTTGGCCACCCCACCAAAACTAGGACAGGCCTATCATCGTACCAACAAGGCAGATCTGATGTATTACTGTTATTAATAAATCACAATTTAAATAAATCAAGTCTAGCTTGCTGATATAATTACATATCTTTCGGAGTTTCCTGGCATGCCCAGGAAGCTTGCCTTCTTGCATGGCCATTCAAATTGCAATTTAAATTTTTTTTAATTGGAATTTTTCTTTTAATTTAATTTTTTTAATCAGTTTTTTAAAAACTGAAAAACTATCCAACCCAGTCTGCTGCTAGAATCACAGGCCTGGGTCCTGGCTGGCCGGGGTCCCTTCTACAGGACATCTGAAGCTCGGGAAGAGCCCAGGGGGCTGCCTGGAATCCCTTTCCCCATCTATAGACCCAACCCCAGAAAGAAAGTGGAGGACACACCAGAGCCCACATTTGGGATGGGAAGAGGGGGGGGAAAGAGAAACAAAAAGAGGCCAGAGAGAAGCAGCAACAGCAGCTGTGATTATAATAAGAGGGGAAACGAAAACAATGCAATATACAGTAGTGTTCCCCCCTATCCGCGGATTCACGTATCCGCTTCTGGGTCAGAACTGGAAACCCCGATTGAGGGGGTGCCTTGACCACCAGAACGGGACACGAACGGGGGGGACCAGAGGCCGGGTCCCCCGCTTCCGCTTTTCTCGGCATCCGCGGGGGGAAAGGAGCTCAGCCAGCCCGACGGCGGCGGCAGAAGCACCGGCGACCGTTCCGTTCCCTTCCCTTGCCGGCCGAGGCCTTTCCTCAGGCTCACGACGGGGGACGGAGCCGCGCCAACGGTCACCCCGAGAGAGTAGCGGCGGCGGCCGCCTCCTCTTTTCCCTCCCTCAGCAGGGCGCAACCTACCTCGGCCGGTCCGTGCCGTCGCTCTTTTCGTCCCGCCTCCCCCTGAGGGCAGAAGAGCCAATCGCGTGCCGCGCCGAGGCGCCTTTCGCCTCCCTATTGGGTCCGCCAAACACCCCGCTTGAGGGGGTGCCTTGACCACCAGAACGGGGGGGGGAGACCAGAGGCCGAGTCCCCCGCTTCCGCGTTTCTCGGCATCCGCGGGGGGAAGGAGCCCAGCCTGCGCGGATACCGGGGGTCCTGATATAACGGGACCGGGTTTGAGGACCAAGAAGCGGACGAGGCGGCGGAGAACGAGGCTCCCGGCCTTCGGGAGAGAGGGAAAGGGGGCCCCGTCTCCCACCCCCCCCCCACGGGAGATACCTCAGGCGAGGAAAGGGGAGCCACCCGGCACTCCGGCCGCCTCACACTCACCGGCTCCCCCCGCTCAGCCAGCCCGACGGCGGCGGCAGAAGCACCGGCGACCGTTCCGTTCCCTTCCCTTGCCGGCCGAGGCCTTTCCTCAGGCTCACGACGGGGGACGGAGCCGCGCCAACGGTCACCCCGAGAGAGTAGCGGCGGCGGCCGCCTCCTCTTTTCCCTCCCTCAGCAGGGCGCAACCTACCTCGGCCGCTCCGTGCCGTCGCTCTTTTCGTCCCGCCTCCCCCTGAGGGCAGAAGAGCCAATCGCGTGCCGCGCCGAGGCGCCTTTCGCCTCCCTATTGGGTCCGCGCCGGCAGTAAAGCCCGCCTTTCTCTCCTAGCGGTGCCGGGACGGAGGGAATTTCCACCACGGCAGCAAGCTGGGTTGAAGGTGCAAGCCCATTGCGGGGAGTGTTTTTCTCACTGGCGCCCTATTGGCTAATCTGGAGGGCCTCTGCCTTCTCATTGGGTGGGAAAAGGAAGGCGGGCCTTCTCCGCTTCCAGGACGGGAGCCCAGGAGCTGGTTTGATTCGCTGAATGGCCCTTGGCCCCGCCCATTAAGGTGCATATTGGACTTTAGGGGAATGGGCGGAGAAAAAGGGAAATGGAGAAGTTTAATTGGTCGAGGGGGAAATACGAGTCAATCAAAGCAGAAAGCAGAGAGCCCTCGTGCATAGTCAAACATTATTGGGATTATTTAATAATTATAATAATAAATCGTCATTATTATTAGTCATCTCAGAATTGCGGAGCTGGAAGGGGAATCGTCATTATTATTAGTCATCTCAGAACTGCGGAGCTGGAAGGGGCCCTATGAGTCATCCAGTCCAGCCCCTGTCAAGGAGACCCAGTGGAGAACTGATCTCACAACCTCTGTCTCCACAGCCAGAGACCTAAACCACTCAGCTGTCCATCATCATCATCATCATCATCTTAGAGCTGCAGAGCTGGAAGGGACCCGAGTCCGGTCCTTGTCAAGGAGGCCCAGTCATCCAGTCCAGCCCCTGTCAAGGAGACCCAGTGGAGAATTGATCTCACAACCTCTGTCTCCACAGCCAGAGACCTAAACCACTCAGCTGTCCATCATCATATCATCATCATCCTAGAACTGGAAGGGACTCTATGGGCCATGTGGGTCATCCATATAAAATTTCTGAATGTGTAAAATGTACCTTGTGGGCTCTCGCAGTAATCCTTAATGATGATTGTCATGTGCCACCAACTGCAGGACTGATGAGGAAATGACATTAAAAAAAGCCTATTGGGAAAATGTTCCCAAATGCAAACACCAATTAGCCATGTTCTTGCTACTTTCCATCCTAGAACTGCAGAACTGGAAGGGACTCTATATGGGTCAATTTGGGTCACCCTTATAAAATTTCTGAATGTGCAAAATGTACTTTGTGGGCTCTCTCTGTGATCCTTAATGATGATTGCCATGTGCTACCAACTGATGAAGAAATGACATAAAACTTTTAAAAAAGTCTGCATAGAAAGCCCCTCCCCCCAAAAAAACGGAGGCCCAAGGTTGAGGACCATTGCCCTAGGGCTCTGCTTGGTGCATCTCAGCCAATGGAGTGCTAGTATGCAAATCATCTGGAGGGATGGGGGGGTCAAGGATTGGCCGAGAGGTGTCACAATGGCCACACACAGTGACGGGGATGGCATGGTCATCAGAGAGCCTTGGCATCGACTCATGAGAATTCTGCAGGGCTGGTTTGGGGGGGTCATCTGGACATCAGAAGGTTTTTGCCTCCTGCTTCTCTATGGATGCTCAAGGGTCCCCTCACCCTAACACAGTGGTCCCCAACCTTGGGCCTCCAGATGTTCTTGGACTTCAACTCCCAGAAATCCTGGCCAGCAGAGATAGTGGTAAAGGCTTCTGGGAGTTGTAGTCGAACATCTGGAGGCCCAAGGTTGGGGACCACTGTGTTAGGGTGAGGGGACCCTTGAGCATCCATAGAGAAGCAGGAGGAGAAGATCAAACCCATGCTTGCTTTAGAAGGCACCTGAAGCTGATTAAGGGAGGATAGTTGGGCAAGCAGAATGACTTCCCAATGGAAAAGACAGCAAACTCTTCAACTCATTGAGCGTTTGCCTCGTTTCAGAAATGGTAACATTAACCCATGGGGAAAGAACACATCCTTATGCCTTGAAATTATGTTAATGTTTAAACAAAATGGTATCTGTCTATCAGACCTACTATGTACCTGAGTACAGTAGGACCCCTACATCTACAGGGGATTGGTTCCAAGTCCCCCTGGAGATGCTGAATGTCATGGATAAAAACCGCCCGGAGAGTGCTTGTAGCGCTATGGGGCGGTATATAAGTCCAATAAATAAATAAATAAATAAATAAAAGAAAAGGGAAAAAATCCAGAAATGTAGATTTACATCTGTGTTCCAGAGTCTGGGAGCAGCCACAGAGAAGGCCTTCTCCCATGTCCCCATAAATCATTAGCAGAGCTTATTGAGAGGTAAAAGACGTCTGTTTCAATGAGCCAGAGCTTGACTCACTCATCATCTTACCAATCAGATTGCTTTTGTTTTGTGATTGGCGATGAGGAGGTAAACAGGGGCTTCCTTTGCCAGTCTGATGGAGCTTTGAAGGAATTACGTGTCAAGAGGGAAAGTATCATAATAGCAGGAAATATACTTTGTGCAGAATGGACATTTTTGACTCACGAATCCATCTCTCGGGGAAAGGGATAGGGGGCCAACTTGCCTTGTGCCTCGGGCAGCAAAATATCTTGTTCTAGCCCTGCTCTGATGGTAAATTTGGTTTGTCTGCAGCTCAGTGGAAGAAACGTTGGCCTTTTCTAAGTGGAAACGTCAGCGTCGGCAGCCGGTAATAGTACACGACATCCTATCGGACCAAATTCCGGATGTGAGGGATGAGGACATCCTCGAGGTCACGGCCATGATCCATACAGTGAAGGAGGATGGTGACCTCCACAACAGTGCCTCCGAGGTGTGCCTAGCAGATGACGCAGGCCCTGGCGATCTGCTGATCAAGCTTCCAAGTAACACAGAGAAGGGATACAGCGTTCTGTCAAGCGATGCCCATGAAGCCCGTGGGACGACCAAAAACCCAGCCAATCCAGAGATGGAGAAGAAAGAGCCTCGTGAAAGAGAAGGTGGAGCAGGCATAGAAGAAAAGAGCCCTCCTGAACCGTCTGGAGGAGAATAAGAGGGTGGCGATTCCCAGGAAGACAAGACAACAGGGCAAGGAAGAATCAAGTCAAAGGGATGTTCCTATGGAGGTATCTTCACTCTGGCATTTGTTCAAGGGCTCCTTGGGGCTGGCTTTCCCAAATTGGAACCTTCCACATGGATTCAGGCCAAGCGGTGGGGCTGGAAACCCCATGGTCACCCCTCTCCAGCAAGCGTTGAAAGAACCTGCCTCTGACATGCACAATCCAGAATTCAGAGATCCGGGATGAATGGTGGGGAAACCCAGAAAAAAAGAGATCTGCTCAACGAGGGTTCCCTAAATCCCCTTTATCCATTTGTATTTGTGGTTCACTCTTTCTGGCTCTGTCAGCCGCAGCCGCACATCCTGTCCACGTAAGGAGATCTCAAAGAACTGATCCATTGGCCAAGTCGTCAATGAGATACCAGCCTGTTGGTCATCCCTAGAGAAGTCGGGGAAACGTCCTTCGTTCAGAGTATTTGTTTCCTTGATTTACAAGGATTTATTCTTGACAGTTGAGTTAAAATTTTAGCTGCAAATACAGAGCAGGAGAAAGAGAAGATTAAAAGAATGTGGGGAAAAGGGATGAAGTATATTGGATATAATCTGGAGTTGTATGTGTGTATGTTGATACAGTGGTGCCTCGGTTAATGGGCGCCCCGTTTAACGATGAAATCGCATAGCGATTAACTTTTTGCGATTGCTTTGCGATGTTCCCTATGGGGGAAAATCGCTTTGTGATGATCGGTACCCTGTTTCGCTTACCGATCATCGCAAAGCGATGATTTTTTAACAGCTGATCGGCGATTTAAAAATTGGCCGCCGGGTTAAAAAAAATGGCAGCCCGCTGTTTTCTGGGACAGATTCCTAGCTTACCGGGCAGCGAAAATGGCCGCTGTATGGAGGATTTTCGCTTAAAGGTGAGTCTGAAGCCCATAGGAACGCATTGAAGGGGTTTCAATGCATTCCTATGGGCTTTTTAATATCGCATAGCGACGAAATAACTTTGCAGCGATTTTTGCTGCACAGATTATCGTCGCTATGCGAGGCACCACTGTATATGGTGACTCACCCACACTGTTGTATTTCCAGGACACGAAAGAAAGCTTGACAGGGGAAGAAAATGATTTGTTTGAAATACTGGCAGAACGCCTCCTCCCACCTAGATCTGCCCGTATCACTTGATCTAGTCAGGAGATGCGCCTGAGGAGCCTAACACCGAAGGAGACCCGAAAGGAAAAAACAAGAAACTGGGTCTTCTCAGTAGTGGCTCCTCATCCTTGGAATAACCTCCCCTTAGAGATCCGTATGGTCCCTTCACTGGGTATTTTTAAAAGCCAACTGAAAACCTGGCTATTTAGGCAGACCTTCCCTTCAAACACCACTTGATCTATTTTTTCTTTTTTCTGTCCATCTTGAATGATTGTTTATTGCTGTAAACTGTTGTTAAATTTTAACTGTTTTATTCTACTTGTTGTAAGCAGCCCAGAGTAGCCAACGACTAGATTGGCACACACACACACACACACACGTACATACGGTGCTGGAGGAGAGCTTTGCAGATACCCCGGACAAGTGAGTCCTACAGCAAATCACGCCTGCAAAAATGTTGAAATTGTCCTACTTTGGGTACATCTTGAGAAGGCAAGATTCTCTGGAAAAGACAATAAAGCTTGGAATAAAGTCTGTCTGTCTGTCTGTCTGTCTGTCTGTCTATCTATCTGTCTATCAGGAAGGAAGGGAGGAAGGAAGGAAGGAAGGAACCAACCTTTCAAATAGTTTCTGGGGATAGTCAAACCAATTGTTCTGAACACTCAAAAATGAACAAGGACCTCGTACTCCGATGGCTTCTCCATTCAAAATAACGTGTCCTCCCCCCCAAAAAAAATACAGGCAAAACCAAACAGCCAGTGCTAAGGTGGGACACGTAGCTAAGAAATACTCCCGCCCAATACATCAGAGCTTGTGTTTTTTATAGAAACGCCAGGAGATAAAAGCAGAAGTTTCTGGAATGTCAACAATAGGTTGGTCATCATTTGGCCGCCTTTTAGATCCCCTGTATTTTAACCAGTTGACATCAATGGGGATGTGCGTCTTCTTTTTTTATGGCTGTTGACAGCAAGCAGTTGGGAGATTGTATTTATTGAAGAGCCAGCTGTTCCTTGATCTGTGGAGCTTATTGGAATGGCGATCTGGCGCTGAGCCTCCGAATTGCTGAGCAGAGGGAAGAGGTTGTGGTTTTTTTGTGAGGGCGGAGAGAAACTTCATTTCCATTGTCTTCGAACAGTCAAGAAGGAGAGAACTTTGTACCTTGGGAACTTCCGTCTGGCAATACCACTTCTTGGTTATCGAATTTATTGGCGAATTTGAGATAAGCTTCCCAAGAGAGATCCTGTTTGACCCCAAGTGGCTTCCTTAGATTGTCATGAAGTCTTGCCAACTTCCGGACATAATGTTTTCTTCCTCACAAAAGCATAATTAGCTTGCGTGTTGGCATTTTCAGTGCTACCCTGTTGTTATGCGCCATCAAGTATCTCTGACTTAGGGTGACCTTAGGAAAGAGTGCTTTCCAAAACCACCTGTCCTTCTCTGCCCTGCTGAGCGCTTATAAATTCAAGCCTGTGGCTTCTTTTAGAAAGTTAGTGAGTCAGTCCATCTCCTATTTGGTCTTCCTCCTTTCCTGCTGCTTTCCACCTTTCCCAGCCTTATTGTTTTTTCCAGACAGTTTTGCTTTCTTATGATACTGCTATAGAAAGCCTGGAAATACCGCTTTTCCCAGTTTTGCCCAACAGACTAAGTTTTAAAATAGTGTTCTTTATTTATTTTGTTTTTCTAAGAAAAGTGTTCCAGTCCCCTTCAGCTAGCATGGAGATTCTGGGAACTGCAATTTAAAAAATGTATATATTTCCCCATGCTGGGGGTGGGGGAATGCCACTCTCCTGTGCCCCATAGCATGTAAAAATAAATACTTCCCCTCCCTGGTAGAGAGTCTGTGGACCAGCCCTCCGGATTACGGAAGCCCAAATTCTGGTTTCAACAAAAAACTTCTCATGCAAATAAACTGAACCAGGAAGTGCGCCATGAGCTTCCTTCTCTGTTGGAGTTTTAAAAAAAGAGAGAAGTTCGTCAAATCAGCCAGTCTGAGTAAAGCGAAACCCATTGCTGCTGTTATTTTGAGCAAAAAGAAGCCGAGAACTCAGACCCGTTCCAGAGATCTTAACTCGGTCACCACGAAAACAATTGCTAGGATACTACGAGGTGAGTAGGCACTTAAGACTTGTGAGTGTGTCAGTAGTTACACGACTGCGGTTTCTGGCTTTCCACGCCTTTGTTTGTGGCATGGATTACCAGTGGTGTCTGCAATGGCAACATCGTGGTCTATCTTTTAGCTGAAATACGCCCAAGTCTGGTGTTCTCTGGAAATGATGGGCTATATTTCTCAGGCTTTGAGACCGATGGCCGTGCTGGCTGAGGAAATATCACAGATATTATACAGGGTAATAAGGGGGGGGGGGAGGCTCAGTGATTCACACCCAGTCTTGTTGGCTCTTATTGCCACGGTTTCACCCTGAGTTATGTTAAGACCCAATGTTTTGATGGTCCGTAGGTTAAAAGGAGGCCAAACCCGCTGGTGAGGGATGGGGTTATGCACCTCATAGTTAAATGGAACATCCATGTTCAGCTGCAGTATACCCCCAATACTAGTTTGCCAGGGGGGGGTAAAGAATAGGGATGGGCTGTTTCCTTTGTGCTGAGAAATAATAGTGGGGCATATCATCCTCCAAGATGGCTGGATGGCTCAGTGGTTAAGGTCTCTGACTGCGGAACCAGACGCTGGGAGTTCGATTCCCCCACTGAGTCTCCTGGCATAAAAGCCAGCCTGGGTGGCCATGGGCAAGCTGTGCCATCCCATAATGCCTTCAGAAGAAGGGGATTTTTAAACCACTTCTGAGTCCTCTCTCCCTGGAAATCTCTGAAAAGGGTCACTTGAAAAGGGTCAGAACTGACTTGACCGCACATAATGATGATGATGACATTATCCTCCAGGCATCTGGCCAACCCTGCCCTCTCCTGCTCTCTTTGGCAATTTAGGATTCAGGGTGCAGCTTGACAGCAGAAAAGGCAGTGCACCAGAAAGGGTCATTTTTGATGGGACCCATCTCCTTAAAGAGACCCGTCCGTCTGTCGGGGAGTCGCTCCCGACCATCCCCAAAAAGCAGTGGCTCAACATCTGGACCAAAAAGGTCCACCTAGGAGATGGATTAGGGTCGGTCTGGAGTGCCCTTCCCTGTTCCTCTTATGATCGCTGGGACATAGGTAGCCCTGGACCACTCTATGAGCAGCCCACGAGGCGATCGATTTCACCGTGGGATCCCACCCTTCGATTGGCAGTTCCGTCGGAAGATTTCCCCACCCACGGGGCTGAACAAAATAGTTATTAGGGGTTACATCTGGTCTAGTTAAGATGGGCAAACCCAATAGAAGGGCTGGAGCTCCTCATTCAAAAGAGGATTCTTTCAAGGGAGTTTCGGGCTAATGAGCTTTCATGAAAGTGACTCACCTTTCCACCATTTAAAGCCAATTATTTGCATGGATTTTCCTCTTCATCTGTGGTCTCTGCCCAAAGGGCGAGCGTTTGGTTCACCCCAGGGCCTGGAGCCCCTCGGGAATGCAGGCTTTGCTCGGCTACTTTGCCATTTAAATGGTCCTAATTAGAAGCACGTCTGGGGTTTTTTTTGGTGGTCATGAGCGAATTTCAGCCTTTGCACAGAAAGGCTGATCTGAAAGGCCTTGATTTTCCTCTGAAGTGGCTTTGGAGGGGGTGGCGCGGAATATCCCCTTTCCTGGTTCATCTGTTTCATAGTTCCAGGTTCTGCAACCTGTCAGCGGAAGAGAGAAAGAGGTGGCTCTTTCTGTGCGTTTTGCCATCTGGAGGGGCATTTCTGTCGCCATGCTGTCACGCTTTGCTCACCTGGGAGAATTCGGCTCCTGGGTCTTTCCTAGGTCCGGCTAGGGATCTTTCCACTTGCTCCCCTGCATCCTGAAAAACAAGGACCAGAGGCGGCTTAAAAACAAGAACAAACAAACCCACCGAGGTGAGAATGCTACCATCCAAAGCCACCTTTGAAGAATAATGCCTGCACCTCCTGTGTTTTTATTTCCCTGTGACCCGGGCAAAGATGATGTGAATTCCAGGTGGGAATACAAGAGGAGCAGATATTGTTGGATGAGGAGGAGGAGAAGTCATCAAGTTAATTCTGATTCATTTCAGGGCTTTTGAAGGTAGAGAATACTCATTGTTGGATCTTTTTATACAGGCAACCAGGGACTGCACAGCTTGCCCAAGGCCCCCCAGGCTGGCTCTACTCTCTGGAGGCACAGTGGGGAAGTGAACTCCCAACCAGATGCCTAAGCCACTGAGCTATCCAGCCAGCCAGCCAACTTATAGGCTTCACTTTTATCTCTTTCCACCGTATATCTCTAAAAAGATTTTTCTGCGGCACGTGCTCGGAAAATACAAGCCTATGGAGAAATCTACATAGCTTTCTGTTCTATCTTTTAAAAAAAAGAAAAACGCAAACACAGAACTGCAATGGAAGGAGAGCAGTTCTCCTCGAGAGAAAGCCAACAAGAACCTCGTGTTGTACCTGAGCCTTTGGCTGTGGCTGCTGCCTGCTCGGATGAAGATGACATCTACGAAAACACAACTGTGTTTCAAGAAGATCAGGAACAGACTGAAGGCCCAACTCACTCAGGTACGTCCCTCTATCCAACTGTTTGTTTCAGAGTTTTGAATATTGGTTAAATTCCTCCGGCTGGACAGCAAAAATGCAGGCATTCACAGAGCAGAATTCGCTTCAAGTCTCCCAGATCAGTCCACCCATTTGTCTCTCCTTAACTGGCACTTACTGTCTTAGTAACTCACTCTGAGACAGTTAAAGTAGAAAGAACAAAGGCCATTTTTTTTAAATTTACAGTTGTGAACAGATCAAACAGCAAAGTGATAAACGTGACTGCTTTCCACTATAGACCTCAACAGACTAAAGAGAGGGAAAGAGAGAGACAGAGCAGACCACTATAGACCTCAACAGACTAAAGAGAGGGAAAGAGAGCAGATAGGTGGGGTTCTCTTTGGATTCAGAGGCAAGGAAGTCACTATTGGTTAGTGTTGGATAGACGGACAGCCACGCCTCCCTGCCACACCAACTAAAGCCAGCATGCAAGGTTGCAATAACTCCAACACTTTTTCCATGCTGCTTATAATTGCCACTCTATCCTACTCTCTCAACAGACTAAAGAGAGGGAAAGAGAGCAGATAGGTGGGGTTCTCTTTGGATTCAGAGGCAAGGAAGTCACTATTGGTTAGTGTTGGATAGACGGACAGCCACGCCTCCCTGCCACACCAACTAAAGCCAGCATGCAAGGTTGCAATAACTCCAACACTTTTTCCATGCTGCTTATAATTGCCACTCTATCCTACTCTTCTAGGGGAGAAAAGTTCCCGAAGTCCCAATTCTTCCATGACAACGAAAGAGCTTCAGGAGTACTGGCGGAATGAGAAACGCAATTGTCGAGAAGTCAAAGTCCTCTTTGAAATCTCGTCAGCCAGAATTGTGGACAAACCATTATCTAAATATGTGGTAAGGTCATCTAACGATCTTGGTCATCCCATAATATGTGGTAAGGTCATCTAACGATCTTGATCACCCCATAGTGCAGAACATGCAAGCATGGGCTCAAGTTAGAGGAAGCCAGATTTAGGCTGAATATCAGAAGAAGAAAAACTTCTTAACTGTTAGAGCAGTACGACAATGGAACCCATTGGCATTGGGAGGTGGTGAGCGCTCGTTAACTGTTAGAGCAGTATAACAATGGGACTCATGGCCTTGGGAGGTGGGGAGCGATCCTACTGCAGAGGCCTTCAAGAGAAAACTGGTTTAGGCTGAAAAGGGCTATCCTATCTCCCCTCTGTCTTCTTTTCTCAAAGCTAAACATGCCCAGTTCTTTCAGCCTTTCCTCAGAGGACTTGGTTTCCTGTCTTCTCTGTCTCTCAGAACTGAATCTTACCTGCCCCACTATCCTAAACTGTCTTGTTCGTACGTTTCCTGCTTAGATGTATCAAATCATCATCGTCCAGACTGGCAGTTTTGACAGCAACCGGTCAGTGATCGAGCGTCGATATTCAGATTTTGAACGATTGCACACCAACCTCTTGAAGGAGTTTTATGATGAGATGGAAGATGTTCTCTTTCCCAAGAAAAGTTTGACCGGAAACTTCACAGATGACATCATCTTAGAGAGGAAACTAGCCTTCCAGGACTATTTGAGGCTCCTGTATTCCATGGAATATATCCGGACGTCGCGAATATTTATTGATTTCTTAGTCAGAGCGGAACTGGAAGAGGGCTACAGTTGCCTTCGGGGAGGACAGTACGCCAAAGCATTGCAGGTATTTCTGGATGTTGTAGTGCTGCAAGAAAAACTCACCAAGCACAGGCCCATTCTGGTGGTCCCGACTCTCTGTGCCATACTCGTGTGTCACAAAGATCTGGAAGATGCCAGGAGCGCATACGAATTTGGAGAAAAAGCACTAATGCGCCTTGAGAAACATCCCAGCCACCGATATTACATGCCCCTCTTGGAAACCATGCTGTCTCTGGCATATGAACTTGGCAAGGACTTTGTATCCTTCCAGGACAAAATCGATGAGAGAAAAGCCAGGAAACGGCAAAATAAAATGGTGACGCTCAAAGAACTGGCAGTCTTGGAGTACATACATTAAGGGTGAAATGGAACTGGCAGAGACAGGTACATTTGTTGTGATTAGCATGTTCTTTCTGGGTCTTCTCATTCTCAAATATGTCAAAAGTAACCCTTTTCCAGTATTGGCAGTGTAGTAAACCTCCCATCGTAATTCTGAAAAAATAAATTAATAATAAAAACAGCGCAAATGTTGTGGACAGAAACAGACATTAGAGACAGCCCGTCATTGGAAGAGGCTGTTCCTTAATTACTGAAAACAAAGCATCTGAGTGCAGAATAGGATAGTTTCTCATTTCACATAATTTGCAAATTTTTGTGCTTTGTTTTCCGGCTTTCAGGACTTCAGCATGTGTTCTTCTCATTCGATGACACAGTGGTGCTGTATCTATAAGTAGCACATCCTTGAGAGGAAAGGACTGTGGCTAGTCTCCTGTTTGATTGGTAGGAGTAATCATGCGAGCTGTTTTCTTTACTTTCCTGGCTGGTTTTCACGTGACCAACTGAGCAATCAGGAGATGAACGGTCGCAGAAAATAGCTTATTCCATTTGCATCATCGCTCTTCATCAATCACGTAAGCCAATAGAATTTTGGTCTGGCTCTTTATTCTGACAAAAGCTTGCCCCAATCCACAGCAAATCATTCTGCTTTTCTTTTTGTCCCTTGGGAGAAAGCACATCTCTGTTGGTGTGGCTCACGTCTTAGACATGAAGGGCTGAAATATTACCATGCCTAAAGGGATAACATTGCAAAGTCAGGCCATGGAAATGTAATAAATAAATAAATAATACACATTTGCCTCTTGTGACCAGAGCCTGATTTCTTACTGATGCTAATTTTCTTTCCGCTCTTAAACACATTTCTGCCGCAAGAAACGTGATCATCCTTCTGTCCTGTTGATTAAGCCATCAACCACGAGATGGCGCTGCTGCACCGATGCCGACCCATGGCTCTCGGCGCACCACTTCACACCGGGCACCCTTTGGTTTAAAATAAAAATCCAAACTTTTTAATGGCATAAGTTTTTTTTATATAAAAAAATATGATCGGGATATAAATAATTTCTATTCCCAAAGCCTCGCATTTAAATTATTAATGGACTTAATTTTTTTCCCTCCTCTTCCAAAATCAATTCCATTGTGAGTTTTGGAGGGGAAAAAAGCTTTACCTTTTTGAGCGGTCCTTAAGGACACGTTAACATCTCCCTTTATCAGGAAGCGGGGGTAAAGGAGCTGGCTGGAAAGCTGAAAGAGAGAGAAAAAAATATATATATTCTTGCAGGCTTTTTAGACCTGGTGAGTTCAAAGCCCGAGACACTGCAACGCCTCCCTTCCTTGCACTGCCGTTTCCTTCTGATCAAAAGGAGCCCAAGTAAAACTCACAACTCTTTAAAGAATGATCAGATAAAGTGAGGAGGAGAGGAGTTTGAGTAAATGAACCTCTCTCTCTCTTTTTTGGCATGGTCTAAAGGAAAGTGGAAATCCAACAGACATCCTCTCGTTAAAGTATGCGCCGGGGTTAATGCCTTGCCCACGAAATTCACGAATGGAACTTCACTTACAAACTGAGTGTGTCACCAAAGTCTGGCAGTGTGAAGGCATTGGGATCAGAACTTCAAACACTCCACCCCATCTCCCCTTGCTTCTCCGTTCTGCTCCCTTATGATGCTCGGCTATGATTAAATGTGTTGTTTACGGGGGTTCCCAAACATTGAATCCTTAGATGTTCTTGGACAAAAACTCCCAGAAGCCTTAGCCACTTGCTCTGCAGGCCGGGGCTTCTGGGAGTTGTAGTCCAAGAACATCTGGGGACAGCCCCCCCCTCCGGTTGGGAACCATGGGTTTATATGGTCATGGCCAGTCTGTAGTGTAGAAATGCATTGGTTGGGTTCGAATGGGGACGGGAAGACGGAGTGAGGAGCATGGGATGTTGGTGAGAATGGTTCTGAGAAAATGAAGAGAGGGGTGTTGGATGAGGGTTTTTTTGGGAGAAGTCTGGGGGTACCGAGATCAAGGAGAGGGTGGTCTTGCACAAGAGAGCCGGGAGCTTGAGGCAAAAGAGGTGAAGGGGCAAATACACACCAATAACAACCATTGTGTGCCGTCAAGTCAGTCGGGACTTATGGCGACACTTTTCGGAATTTTTCAGGTCTAGAACGCTCAGAAGTGGCTTCCCCTTGCCTTCCTCTAGGGGGCGCCCTGGGACCGTGCAGCTCGCCCAAGGCTACCCAGGCTGGCTCTATTCCCAGGTGGCACCAGTGGGGGGGATTGAATTCCCAACCTCTGGCTCCACAGCTGGATAGCTTACTCACTGAGCAATCCAGCCAGCCACACATGCAGACGGGGAGGTAAGGCTGCCAGCACTGAAGGAAGGAGAGAGTTGACGCTGAAGCTGTCCTCCTTTGGACCACCGTCCGAGAAGGCAGGATTCTGCTGGGAAAGGTAGAGGCAGGAGGAGAAGAGGAAGACCAAATATGAGATGGAGGGACTCCCCCAAAGGAAGCCACAGGCTCGGGTCTGCCCGAACTGAGCAGGGCGTTACAGGACATTTTCATGGCCAACAGACATGGCTGCTGAAGGAATGGCTGAGCTTGCTAGGGCAGAAATGAAAGGAAGAATTTCAGGGGGGGTGGGGGAGCCAGCCGAAGGACCACCCATTGCTCAAGAACGCCCAATGCTGCTGCCGGCCCAGTAATGGAAGACGACAGCAGCTGCAGTGGCGAAAGGAAAGACCGGCTGGACAAGGCGCTCCTTCCCACGAACAGATGCCTCCTTCTTCCCCCGTATCAAGAACACCCTCGACACTTTCTCCAGAGATCGCCACAGGTCTCCCGTGGTCTCCCAGAGGCATCTGGTGGGGCCACGGTGAGAGACCGGAAGCTGGCCTGGGGGGGGAGCCTTGGCCTGATCCAGCCCCGGGCTCTTCTTAAGTTCTTCTGCTCTCTTTTGAGCACCGAGAGCCCTGTGCTATTATTCTAGAAGACCAACAGCAACATTCCCTGCCCTCTTTCCACAGACCTATTTTACCCCCCTGCTAACACCCGTCCCCCACTCATAACAATGAAATATTTCCTTTTTTTAAAATCATATCGTTCCTCAAAGGGGGGGGGGAATACCTTGAAGGCATCTGACCCGGGTTCTCACCTGGAAAGAAGACCGCAGACTGCTCTTGGTGCCTTATTTTTGTTGATAAACCATTTCCCCACGGAAAAGGGCCTGTCCCATTGAGATGGCCCACCTTTCAAGCCATTTCCCTCCCTGTCCCTCTCACTGATTTTACCTGCCATTGCTGCTGAAATCTCTTGTTTGCTGAGAGAGAGAGAGAGAGAGAGAAGAGAGAGAGAGAGAGAGAGAGGAAACCAAGGATGCACGCTGGATGCAGCATCATTAACAATTTTTTTAATACATACAAGCAAATCTGGCAACTTTAAATCATGTTCCTTTCTTTGAAACACACCACAGACTGTCTTTCTTCCTCACTTTCTAGTTAGCAAGTCTTCATAGGGTCTTTAATACTCTTTCTCCTTTTGCTATGATCAAAGGAGTCGCTCTCCGTTTGCTTGTTCCTCTGATAAGTGATAAAAGATGCCATGGAGACTAATGAGAATCTGCCTCCAGCTTTCTTCATAAAGCCCCTGTTGAAAAGGGAGGGGGAGGCAGAAATCACAATGCATCATCAAACCTTTTAGGGAGGGGGGGAGAGAGAAAATGCTAGGTACAAAGTCGTTGGGAGATACAGGATGGAGGGAAGGAGGGGGCTCCTTTCACAGAAGAGACAAAAAAAGTACACGGGATAATAATGAACAGGAAATGTTGCACCAATGAAGAAACCCCATCTAGATAAGAAGACGAGGGAAGGAGAAGAAGATTATAGTTCTTTGGCTACTTTTCGGTGTTGCAACAGTTGTCTAACGTTGGGTCTTTATTATGAAAGCAGTCACATGGGTGGCTAATTCGCTGGGGTTTTTTCTTTTCCTTTCCACTGGTCTAGCCGACAGAGGTTACCGATCTGAGTCCAAATCATGGGGGGGGGGCAGCCCAAGTTGAGTTCAAGTCAAGTCACCAATGTGACTCAAGTCTGACTTGACGGTGAACCCCGTCCCTGATTCATTCAAAACTTTGAAAGAGGTCTCCAAGGTGTGGACAATACCGTTCAGGACCACGGAGAGCTCTTTGGAGGTTCAAACCAAAAACTCCAGGGCGGATTCAAGTGCCATCCCTGAAAGCAGAGTCACCAGCTACAGCCCGGTACAACCACTCAGGAAACCCAACATCTCAGAGAACCAGTCCTGGGATCTCTGAATGCTAAGGAGACCTGCAATGAGCCATCCTTGACCCGATGCTCTCTTGCAGGGGTGGTGGCAAATGACAGCATCCATTATTTGAACCCAGAGGAATGTTGACCTACACGATACACAATCTTTACAAACTTCAGTTGGTTTGGAAGTTATTTTACAGCATTTTCAGCGGACAGGAGCAACATCTATTCCAAACAGCAAAAACAGAAGCAACTTTCATTAGGAAAAAAAAAGCAAATCCTTGTATGGAAGTCAACTGGGCAGCAGGTTCTCCAACACTGACATTGCACCAGCATCCTGTGTTCTACCTAAAATCGTACACTTAAGGGCCCTGAGCAAGCTGCCGAGCTCAGTGGTTCTCAAACCGGGGTCCCCAGATGTTCTTAGACTGCAAGTCCCTGAAATCCTGGCCAGCACAGCAAGCGGTGAAGGCTTCTGGGAATTGCAGTCCAAGAACATCTGGGGACCCCTGTTTGAGAACCACTGCTGTCTCCTCTCCGACATGTTGCAGCCACCTCCCTACAGTATATCAGCCATCTGAGGCAACCCTTTCAGTTTGCCTAAGAGGCAAGGCCGGCCTTGATTGTGAGAGCAGACACATATCTGGGCACTGTGTTATCTCTGGCTAATCTCCATGCCATGAACAACTGAATTTCTGTAGATGAGACCATCATTAAGGGCGTAGCAGCAGACTATAACAAGTTCAGTTGGTAATCCTAAGCCCCTCTCCTCTACATGCACATTCTTCTTGAGCTTGTCCAGGGACAACCCGAGATGCTGAGCGGCTAGAATGAAAAGTCAGGAGATGATGGGGTCGGTGACTTAAAAGTATCTCAACACTAGCCATGGGCCCTGGGCCTTCAGCAATGTATGTGGATAACAAACACAATCAATTTGTCAATTCATTGAAGAATATTCGTATATTCGTATTCATTGAATCGTTAACCTTGATGAATCACGAATCAAAATGAATCGTCTTTTTTTTTTATTTGTCCCCATCTCTAATGTGGATAACAGACACCACCTCTTTGATTCACACAGCACTGACCTCCAGGTGAGGAGGAAGGCCAGGAGCATCAAGAGAAACAACCAGCAAGCTGTATCTGCTCTTCCCCATCATCTACTGCCCGAGGTGGCGGCTGACTCTCACACCCTTTTGACTCTTCTTTTTGGGACCGCACCTGAGTCAGTGTCTTTATCTTTTTTTAAAAAATCCTGCAATTGCTCACCCCAATTAAGCCCAAATATGGAGGAGAGACGGTGGAGGAGAAACCCCAGCTTCCCCTGCAAAAGGAGAGAAAAGCTGATAATGCTGATGATGGCTTTTGCAGCAATATATTAAGCACCAATTCCTTGGGAAAAAAATTAATATGCCACATATGGTTCGGCGAGGAACTTGAAGCAATTTGGAGGAAGAAAGGCCATTAGAGGCTTTAAGCTCATTATACAAAGCAAAAGCATCTTTGGGGGAATATTTGTTTTATAAGGAAACCTATTATACTTCCAGAGGAGTGCAAATTATTAAGGATTGGGAACAGATGGAGGGGAGAGGAG